TGAGCCACGGGCCGGCCCGGATGAGTGTTTTTTATTGTTGAGATAAAATTCATCTACCACTTACCACCACTGAGGTACTATTCACCCATTTTTTGGTTTTGTTTTTTTGGCTGCTGGCTGGTACAGGGATGGAACCCCGGACCGTGGTGTTATCAGCACCACACTCTAACCAACTGAGTGTTAGAACCGGCCAGCCCCAAATTCACTCACTAAAGTAGGAGCTTACATTTTATTTTGAGTGTAATGAGGAGTCATTGAGGATGAGTTTCTGATCTACATTTTTTTTTTTAATAAAGATGACCAGTAAGGGGATCTTAACCCTTGACTTGATGTTGTCAGCACCATGCTCAGCCAGTGAGCCAACCAGCCATCCCTATATAGGGATCCGAACCCGTGGCCTTGGTGTTATCAGCACCACACTCTCCCAAGTGAGCCACGGGCCAATCCCTGATCTATATTTTAAAGACTGATCTGACTGCTGTATGGAGAATGGATTTGACAGGTGCTGGGAATAAGAGAAGCTGGGGAGTTCTTGAGGTAATCTAGATGAGAAATGATTCCAGATTGAACCAGTGTCAACATTTGGGGTACAGTGTGGAGAGAGAACCAGCAGGAAGGACTGGGTAATGGGTTAGGTGTGGGAGTGAGGGGAAGGGAGAGGGGCAGTGCCCTTTATTCAGATGTAGAGGGAGAATGTGGGAGGAAATGAAGAGTCCTGTTTTGGGCATGTTAAGTGTGTAACCACAGTGCCGGCCCCTTCAGTTTGGAACTATTTATTAATAGTTCAAGTGCAAACATTCATGGAAGCCTGTTGTGGCCAGGCAGAGGATACAGACACAAACAAATGAAGGCCAGTCTCGGCCCTACTCAAATCACTGTCTCAGACAAGTAAAACCAAGAAACATGTCTTGGTACCAAGTGCTGTAAGAGAGAGCATCTGTTAGGATGTATTTGGCTGACAGTTTGATCTAAACAATAAGGAGATTCATCATCTCACACCACAAGGAGCCCAGTCCTCTGAGATGCTCTTCGCCTTGCCCTCCTCTGGGTTTTGGCCTTGTCTGGGAGTAAGATGAGAATAGTAATTTCAGGTTTCCCATCCAGACTCAGCAATATCCAGAGTTGGAAGGATGTCCGTCTCTTTGGTGTCTCCTTAAGAGTGAGGAACCTTTCCTGGAAGCCCCCCACAAGCGGATCTCCTCTTACCAGTCATTAACTCTTTTGGAGTTAATGACTGGTAAGAGGAGATCCAGCCCTAAACAGAACCCCTAGCCAGGAGAACTGGACCACCAGAATTGGACTAGACCTGTTAGGATTTCTTCCTGGAGCTGGGGAAAGAGCCACCCTAAACAAAATCAGGTCCCTACCTGAAGAAAGATGGAAAAATGTCTGTTAAACAGGAGCTCAGAGTGTCTGCTACACAACAGAATAAACACTGCTCAGGGAGTCAGAAGGCCATTTGATTTCAAGAGCATCTTTTTAAAGAGTTCAAGATTCTGCACAAAGAACTTTTCTTTCTTTAACTGTGGTCACATAAATGTCTGAAAGAAAGAAAATCTCTCTCCTTCTCCAAGCAAATTCACAGACTCCAAAGTCACAAATTGTTTTTGACTTCTTTTGTCTCTTCCCCTCGACCCCCACCCCCCCCACCACACACCTACACATGCTATTTTTCTGCAGTAGTCAGCCTTCCTTCTTCGTTTAACACTGCTCACAAGTGTTTTCACAGGTGGCTGGCTCCCCTAGTCTCTGCAACTCTGAACTAACCCATTAACATTTCATCTAGTGGCTATGCCAAAGTTCATGCTACCATATCCACACACTGGACACTATCCTCTTTCCACACTTTCACTGAGATATTGGTCATAAGTATGGCTGGTCATCTTTTTTTTTTTTTTTTTAAGATCTCAATTGGCTTTATTGCGATTCTGGAATGGGGCAACACATTACTCCACAGAATAGAACAATTGTTCCAATGAATCATACAGAGGAGATTGATTTTATATACAGAAAAGAGGCTGGCCAATGAGCTCAGTTGGTTAGAATACAGTGTTATAACAGAAAGGTCAAGGGTTGGGATCCCTGAACTGGCCAGCATCCAAAAAAAAAAAAAAAAGGCAAAACAGTGGCCTCCTATAATTTTTATTTAACAATTCCCCCTTTGGCCAGGCCCTCACCTAGATGAGAGTGTGACCAAAACTTAGGGCATTAGCACAACTCTCGGTTACCATCATTCTGGGTTCCCAGTCTCAGCATACGATTCATAGCTTAAGGTGTCTTCATAACCATGCATTTCTTTGGATTTTGGTTCTTGGCTGGACATCGTTTGAAGAGATTTTCTACATCTGGGGAAATGCCATGCTATCATCAGTCCTGCTCCCCACCATCAAAGTTAGAATACATCTCTCAGCCTCCTCTGATACAAGAACATTGACATATGATCTAGGTTTCTCTAATGAGACACATTCATGTGAGGCTTTGAACATGCCTAGCTTTGGGGTTTGTGGGGTTGGAGGGAGGGAGAATCACTTTGTTTTTGGCAGCTGGCTGGTACAGGAATCGAACCCTGGACACCTTGGCGCTATCAGCACCATGCTCTAACCAACTGAGATAACTGGCCAGCTGATGGTCTCTTTCTTGATGCAGAAGTGGCTTCAATACCACCAGCAGTAGCTGTTTCAGACAAGTCTAAATCCTGGCATTTAGTGTTTGGTGGCAGTGGCAGTAGTGGCAGTTTTCTTATCGGGTCAGATCAGTTCTATGGCTTGGAACTATTTCTCCATCAGCCTGCCCCACAATTCTGTAAGCTGCTTAATACCCTTAACAAATCCCTCTTCTGTTTAACCCAGCCAATGTAAAATCTATTATCTGTAAATCAGACTCCTGACTGATCCATTCACTGTTACAGAGCATACTATAGTCAACAGCTCTAGAAAAATATTTCTCCCTTTGGACTCTTCTGAGCACTGTGTTTCTCAAACTTCAGTCATTCATGCACCATCTTCCCCAAAACTAGCCATATTCATACCACCCATAATATTACCTACCAAATAGTGTTCTTTAAAATGATTCCTTTTTTTGTTGTTGGCAGCTGGCCAGTACAAGGAACCTAACTCTTGGGTATTAGTTTGAAAAAAACTGTCATAAGTAAATATCGATCTTAAAAAATGAATCAAGGGGCTGGCCAGTTAGCTCAGTTGGTTAGAGTGCAAACTTATAACACCAAGGTCAGGGGTTGGATCCTGGTATAAGCCAGCCACCTAAAAAGAGAAGAAAAAAAAAAAAAGCGCCACTAAAATAGAAACCATTTGGGTTCAAATACCACCCCCAAAAACTCACATCTTGCTAAGTGGCTAAGAGTGTCCTAGCATAAATTCCCAGTAGTGAAGTGACTGAAGTACAGGGTAGAAACAAAGAAAACTCTTTTGTATACCAGCCCTTCCTAAGCAGAGCTGATGGACTGGAGGCCCAGGTGGAGAGAAGTCTTAGCAAGTTCCTCACTTTATCAGAGTGGCAAAATGATAGTTGTTATAGTACAGTGCGGTGGTTAGGTGCACACTTTTGGGGGGTTAGTTGTGTTGGGCTCCTTAACCACCTTGAGTCTCAGTTTTCTCACCTGTAACGGGGGAAAATAATAGATCCTACCACAAAGGTGGCATTGGGAGCATAGACTCTGAACAAATATGAAAATCTGATACAAAAAAGCTCTAGTTCAGAGTTTCCCAAACTCCTCCACATTTTAGAAGGGTGTGTGTGTGTGCTATATAGTTTCCCAGTCTGTGCCTAGACCTCACTGAATCATAACCTCCAGGAGAGGAATTAGGGAATCTATTTGAAACCCTGTCAGTTGAGTCTTAGGATCTGGTGAGTTTCGGAAACATAAATCAGGGTTAAGCAGCTGCTGTTATCACCTCAGTGTGATGCTGGGCAGCTGTGATGAGATGATGGATGTGAAAGTTAAGCGTTATTTACTACCCTTGCACTCATTTATTCAGTCAGCAGACATTTATTGAGCACTTACTGCGTGCCCCACCCTGTGAGGTGCTGGGGCCACTGCGGGAACAAGAAAGACTCAGGCTCCACAAGCTGGTCCCTTATCCTCGGTGTCATCTGCAAAATTGGGTGGGTGGGGCGACGACCGAGGGAATTGCTCCACAGGCTGTTGAAGGACCACAGGGGTGGGCAGCAAAGCTCTGTCTTGGGGGCCCTGGCCCTGTGAGGTCAGGCGGTACAGGGTCCCCGCAGACTACGAGCCAGAAGGGCGGGTATTTGAGGGTCAAGAACTGTGGAACCTGAAGGCCCCGGGACCCCATCCCTGACTCCTATCCAGTTCACTTCCTCTCAGGGGCACGCATCAGGATTTCCCTAACTGGATACTATTACCGTTTTACAGATAACAAAACAAAGGCTCAGGGGAGAGATGGGTCCCACTTGAGTCCCACTCCCGAAAGGTACCAAGGGCCTAGTCCTACCTCCAGTTGAGGCCCAGGCGCCGCCAGATCTCTCCTAAGACCCGCGTAGTGAGTCGGCCTCCAGGGGGCTCGGGGCCTCTCTCCGCCGGGCCCAGGACATTCTTGAGCAGTCCGCGCCGGGGCCGCCTGTGCATCCTGGAGGCCAGGATCCTCCCTCTGGCTCCGGCCTAGCCCTACCTAACTCCCACCCCAAGCACTCCCACGGCCGCCGCCCTGGGAACTACAAGGCCCATGAGCCTCCGGGCGCTGGTGCATTGTGGGACGCCCCACATTGCCGCGTCTCCCTCGGCCCCTCGGCGCGGCCAGAGAGAACTACGCGGCGCCTCAACCCACAGGCCCCGAGTGAGTTGTGGAAACCCTCTTCAGCCCTCCCCGACCCTGAGACAACCGTCCCTTTGACGACTTCCGCCTGCGCCCAGAAGCGGGCGGAGATGACCATAGAAACTAGCGACTAGAGGCGCCCAGACTTGCCCTCTCGGCCCTCCCTTCCGCCGGAAGCGATTTCCAGCAGCAAATGCCCTTCCTCTGTTGCACGCGCGGCCTCGCGGTACCCGGTTCCTGGGGTGCCAGTACGGCCACAATGGCGGCAGCCATCCTGCTGCGCGCGACGCCGCGCTTCAGCGGTGAGGGGCGGGGGGGCGATGGCGACCCGGTGGGGGGCGTCGCGGGTAGCCGGGCTTGGACCCCCGCCCTGACTCCAAGCCTCTGTCTCGGCAGGTGTGTGCGCCGGCTCGACCCCACTATTGCAGGGTCTGCTGCGGCCGCAGAAGACCCTGGCATTGTCCCTCTTGTGCCGCGGCCTGGCGGTGGAGGCCAAGAAGACCTACGTGCGCGACAAGCCCCATGTGAACGTGGGTACCATCGGCCATGTGGATCACGGCAAGACCACACTGACCGCGGCCATCACGAAGAGTGAGTGGGGTTGTGGTGGAGGGCGGGACCTGGATCCAGGAAGGTGGGGCCAGAAGAGTGTTGCTGGAGTTAATATGGCTCCAAGAGCTAGAACAAGGGCAGGAGGTGGATTGGAAGATGCAGGAGACGCATTTCTCCTGAACACGAAAAACTCTGTGATGCATAAATTGGAGGACGCTGAGTGGTTTCCCTCTAGCCTTGGGGAATGCTCTGTAAGCAGAGACTTTACCCTGGAATAGTGGCAGGGTGGGCCCTTGAGGCCCTCTAACGTTTCTTTCTGACACAAAGTTATCTCTGCTGGAAGTTAAGAGACTTGAGGGAGGGGGTCGTGGAAGCTTTATCCTTCCAGACTGTCATTTGTTTAGGTGGGAGGGACCCAGGGGTGTGGCCGGAGCCCTGCCTCTAGCTCTAGAACTTTAGCTGAGAAGTGTGTTCACTTCCCTCCATTAGTTCTAGCTGAGGGAGGTGGGGCTAAATTCAAGAAGTACGAGGAAATTGACAATGCCCCGGAGGAGCGAGCTCGGGGGATCACAATCAACGCAGCCCATGTGGAATACAGCACTGCTGCCCGCCACTATGCCCACACAGACTGCCCGGGCCACGCAGACTATGTTAAGGTGAGGGTTGCTGGGGACTGGGCCGGAAGCTGCCTCCTGTCCGGATAAATGTTAGGTTTTGGACGGAGGAGGTTAAGATATTCCAGATGTTTGCATATGAAATTACAGATTTGTCCCACGGCCACTCAAAGTGGGTGGTGAGAAGATGGCAGAGAAAGGGGGGGCCTCAGTTTCTATCTGCTGCACTTGGTTAGATGGATGTGGAACTGAGGAAGTTGTTGAACTAGGCTTAGTGTTTCCTCTCTTCCTACCCAGAATATGATCACAGGCACTGCTCCCCTTGATGGCTGCATCTTGGTGGTGGCAGCCAATGATGGCCCCATGCCCCAGACCCGAGAGCACTTATTACTGGCCAAACAGGTATTTGAAGCCTGGGTAGGGGTGGAAAAAGGAAGAGTGGAGCATTGGGCCACTCTGGACATCATCCCTATCTCTTTCCCATCTCTGTAGATTGGGGTAGAGCATATTGTGGTGTATGTGAACAAGGCAGACGCTGTCCAGGACTCTGAGATGGTAGAGCTGGTTGAGCTGGAGATCCGGGAACTGCTCACTGAGTTTGGCTACAAAGGGGAGGAGACCCCAGTCATCATAGGCTCTGCTCTCTGTGCCCTTGAGGTGAAGGCAGGGTTGGGTTGGGGCTGCTGGCTGGAAGAGGATGGGGCTAGATGGGCATCAAGAGCTCTGCTCTGCATTTTGGGAGTGGCTTTGGTAAGCAAGAGAAGCAGAATGGAAATCTCAAGAGTCTTGTCACCTCACCAACAGCAACGTGACCCTGAGCTAGGCGTGAAGTCTGTGCAGAAGCTGCTGGATGCTGTGGACACCTACATCCCGGTGCCCACCCGCGACCTGGAGAAGCCTTTCCTGCTGCCTGTAGAGTCAGTTTACTCTATCCCTGGTGAGGACTGTGCTCATTCACACTCCCTCCCCCAGCAATAGCCTACACGAAGTCCCTGATGCCCTGTCCTGTTCCCTCCCAGGCCGGGGCACCGTGGTGACAGGCACGCTGGAGCGTGGGGTTTTGAAGAAGGGAGACGAGTGTGAGTTCCTGGGACATAGCAAGAACATTCACACTGTGGTGACAGGTATAGAAAGCAAGCCTTGGGACCCAGGGGCTGGCTTCAGGATGACCTTTCCCCTTGTAGATCCCTCATGCCTTCCTTCTGCCTCAGACTCTCTTCCCTCATCCCTTCTCCTCCCTCCTTTCTTTCTTCCCTCGTAGGCATTGAGATGTTCCACAAGAGCCTAGAGAGAGCAGAGGCAGGGGATAACCTCGGGGCCCTGGTCCGAGGCTTGAAGCGGGAGGACCTGAGGCGTGGCCTGGTCATGGCCAAGCCAGGTTCCATCCAAACCCACCAGAAGGTGGAGGCCCAGGTGAGGGCTCCCCGTGATGGTGGGCAGGGCCGAGCCAAGCCATCCCTGCACAGAGGCAGTGCACACCAACCCAGTTCCACCCTCATTGCTCTGTCTTCCAGGTATACATCCTCAGCAAGGAGGAGGGTGGCCGCCACAAGCCCTTTGTATCCCACTTCATGCCTGTCATGTTCTCCCTGACTTGGGACATGGCCTGCCGTGTCATCCTGCCTCCAGGGAAGGTATAGTGGATGTAGGGAATGTGGAGTAGAGGGCACTCTTCCTATCAGCTCTGCCTCACTCCTAGTTCCAAAGATGGAACATGACAGCCTGGGTGGCTTAATTTCCTTGGGTGAAGAGATGTTGATGCTGATTGAAGTGAAACTGGTAGATGGAAGGATGCTGACCACCGGGGTTGAGGGGGAGTGAGCCTTCATGCAGTATGCCCTAGGCTGGAGGAGGCAAAAAACTCTACTATACATTCACCCGCAGATTTCTTAAAGAGGGCTCTTGTTGAAAGTTTTGCTATATATGAGAGCTCAGAGAAGTCCTGTGGCTAAGAAACCCACATAATCAAAATTTTCTGAAAATTTTGTTCTCAAGAATTTATCTTAGGAGTACTGATCTCTGGTCCCTTTCATGTTCTCCTGCCTTTGAACGTGTTGTTTGCACTTGTGACAGCTGGCTTGGATGAAGCTGTCCCCAGACAGAACCTTTCTGCATCAGACCTCTGTGGTAGCCAGCAAACAGGTACAGAAAGCATGCACCGCGAAGGCCATGTGTGATCCTTCTCTCCCTGTTCCAGGAGCTTGCCATGCCCGGGGAGGACCTGAAGCTCAGTCTAATCTTGCGGCAGCCAATGATCTTAGAGAAAGGCCAGCGTTTCACCCTGCGAGATGGCAACCGGACCATTGGCACCGGCCTGGTCACTGACACATCGGCCATGACCGAGGAAGACAAAAACATCAAGTGGAGTTGAGGGTGCGGACCTCTGCTTAGGTTCTCTTGCAGTTAAGAGTTGTCCTGGCCAGTGTTCCCTCCTGCTTCTGGTGCCTCCCTCAGGGCATAAGCTGCAACCCAGCAGAGTTCAGCTAGACGGACACTTCCCCTGGGCAGAAGGGGTGGCCTGCCAGATAAGGCAGGCCAATAAACTGTTCTGTGAATAGTAAGTTAGCCTGCGTGTCTTGTGTCTTTTGTATAAATTGGACAGGATGGAGGAGTACAAAAAGGGAGTTGAAAACCAGGACAGATTAGCTTGTGGGATCCCAGAGCCATCTTAACTGAGTTCCTTTCTAGAGTCTAGTCCATCTCTATGGTCATCTTTTCAAAGCCATCCTCAGTAGTACTGTGACAGTTTGAACAGAGAAATCTAGTCCAGTGAGTTTTGTTATTGATCCAAAGTCCAGGGAACACATCTCATGAGGGCCTTTGGTGGTGACTTCAACAATGCAGAGTATCACATTGTGAGATGTTAGATGGCTTGAGCAGAGAGATAACCTCCTCCCTGGCTGTCCTTTTAAGCTCTCAGAACAACACTCATGACTACCATCAGACTATCAATGGATTTAATCCATTTACTAGGACATGGTCCTCACAATTTAATCACCTCACCAAGACCCCACCATTCAACTACCACAGTGGGATCTCCCACCCTCTTCACAGTATCGGGGGACATATCCTGCCCCTGGTCCCCCAAAACTCATGTCCTTTTCACATACAAATATATTTATTTCATCCCATGTCCCAATGAGCAGATTCTACTTCCTACAACTTCAGAATCCCTTTCCTTCTCTCACTACCTATACCTATCTAAGAGTAGACCCTCCCCCTGGGTCATCCCATCGGCTCCTAATTGGTCTTAGGTCTCCAGCCTCATCCCTTTCCTGGTCATCCACAACACAGCTGGATGCTCTTTCTAATCACCTTTAACACTTATCGGCTCACTCACTTGTAGACTAGCCCCCAATGGCTGATAGGTAACTCAGCCCCACTCACCTGGGAGCCTGCTCCTAGCTCTCCCACTTCTCTCGATCCCATCTTTTTTTTTTTTTTTTAAATGTGTCGGTACCCTACTTCTTACTCACCCACTTTCTTCATATCCATCCTTTAAGACTCAACTCAAAAACTACCTCCTCCTGGGAGATATTGGGGAAGAATATGGTTATCACTTGAGGCCAGCATGGGCTTAGCTCAGGTGCCAAACCTTTTTGAGTATTTACTCGGCTAATGTTGAGCTACCTGTTTGGTTCATCTCCAGCACATAAGAGGTACTTGATAAGCAAGCCTTCCTGAAGTACACTTGATGGGTCATCACCACGGTGCTACCGGTTCCAGGTACCGGAGTGAAAAGTCGAATTTCATTTTCAACATTCACTGAGATTTAAAATTAAGCAAAAAGCTGTTTAACCAAATGTAAAGGAAATAAAATGCTGATATTTTTTAAAAACTTGAAATGACTAGCAAGGATGCTAATCCTAAACAAAAAAGGTAACATTCAGCAGGTATTAATGGGCATCTTTTACGTTTGGATCCTGAAAAATGAACATATCCAGGATAACCCACCGAGACAAGCACCCAGAAGGAAAGGCTCTAAAGGAAATGCAAACTAAGAGAAGCAGGTGAGAGAGAAAGACATTAAGAAGAACTTCACAGGCTGACAGGTTAGCTGAGCTGTATACCACAAAGACCACGGGTTCAGATCCCCAACTCGGCCAGCGCCCATCCACCAAAAAAAATAACTGCAAAAAAGTACTAGCCAAGGGGCCGGCCCGGTGGCGCACTGCGCTAGTGCACCGCTTGGGAAGTGTGGCGGCGCTCCCGCCGAGGGTTCGGATCCCACATACAGACCGGTTCCCGCTCACTGGCTGAGCGAGGCGCGGGAGCAACACC